TCCCATTCCTTTTTAAGCCAATATTTTATTTAAATTAATGTATACTATATGTATAATATATAGTATATGTAAGCAACTAGGTGGCACAGTGGATAGAGTGCTAGGCTTGGAATCAGGAAGACTCATCTTCCTAAGTTCAAATCTGGCCTCAGACACTAAGTGACCCTGGGCAAGTCACTTAACTCTGTTTGCTTCAGTTTCCTCATTTGTAAAATGAGCTAAAGAAGGAAATGGCAAACCACTCCAAGAAAACTCCAAAAGGGAGTCATGAAGAGTTGGACTAGAACAATTGAACCCTATATAGTAAATGTAATATCACAACAGAATAAGATCTAATCTTGAGTAGCACAGTATGTATGCCTAAAAAATAAAAACATTCCTAGTCTTGATAAAATCAACTTTTGAAGCATGCTGCTGTTGAAAGTAAAATGAGACACTGATATTTGAATAATTTTGTTGCCATCCAATTTAACTGTCCTTCATTTGTCTTGTATTTGAAATCCAAAGGCATAAATGCAAATAATGCTGCTACATGTAACTGGATCATTAAACAAGCAGAACTTGGGGCAGCTAGGTGGCGCAGTGGATAGAGCACCAGTCCTAAAGTCAGGAGGACCTGAGTTCAAATCTGGCCTCAGATCAAACACTTGACACTTACTAGCTGTGTGACCCTGGGCAAGTAACTTAACCCCAATTACCTTAAAAAAAAAAAAAAAGAATTTAACAAGTAGCACTTACAGCAGCAGTTATAAAAATGTTGCCGAATTCTAAATGTCTTCACATGTCATGACAGGCATTTCTTTCCTAAAAGATGGTGGCAAGACATTTGCACAATCAAGAGAGCCTTTGCCTCTTTCTACTTATCTTACTATCTTCAATGGCATATGAAAAAAATTGTGCAAAAGCTATGTTCAGTGAGACTGTCCTACCCCACCACATCTACCAATTCCCTTTCTAAAACTGAATTTTTTATCTAGTTCACATTATAAGGGACCTTAAGTTCATAAAAAAATGTATGTTTGGGCATTTTTGTGAATTTTTTTCTTTTCTCCAAGTTTTCTTTTAGCATGTTTATAAACTGAAAACAGCCTCTCTGTTGATCAGGTTACCCTCACATAACCTCTATATTAAGTGAAATAAAGTAAAAGAGCCATTCTGTATGGAACTCACCCTTTTTGTTCCACTTGCCATCACAGTTTTAACTTTGAAATATTTTAGGCAAATGATACATGTCTTGATGTTATTGGTGGAAAAGATGTACCTGGAGCTAAAGTAGCTGTATGGAATGAACATGGGAAGCTTAGGCAAAAGTGGAAGATGAACAAAGATGGAACCATCAGTTCTTACCTTAATGACCAGCTTGTCCTTGACATTAAAGGTATGAATTTACAGGGTCTCAAATTCTATCTTGTAATTGCAAATCTATTTAGAGTCTTTTTATCCAAACATTAATCTAGGTCAAAGCAACCGCAATATATATTTCTGAGAATCTTACTTTCACATTTATACATTTTAAAAAAAGGTCTACATGGGCACAAATTCAAGATAAATTAACTGGACTGCATAAATGATGGAAGAAGGGTACCTTAGTGGAGAGGGAGAAATTAAGAGGACTTGTAATCCATAGCATATTTTTTATTTCCTACATGGCCCATCAAATTCCTATGGCCCATAAGCCATATTTTACTCTTGTTTTGAAAAAAAAGAAACATCTCTCCACTTTCTCAAACCAACAGAAGTTGTTCCTGCCTTATAATTCCTTTTGACTATGGATAATTTCTTTTGTATAGTTATACTGTAAAGTATGGAAAGCGCTGAGTTTCACTTTTCTCATTTCTAAAAGGAGATTAGACTACATTACTTCTAAGGCTCCTTCCAGCTCTATAAGCTCATTTAAGATTCACAACAACCCTGTGATATGGGGACCGTTCTCATTTACTTTTTAATTCTTATTTTACTTTTGAGAGAACTGAGGCTGAGAGGTTTGAATAACCTGCCCAGGGTCACATAGCTAGTTAAATGAAAAAGGTTTTCAATTTAGGGTCTTCCCAAATCCTGTCATAATGCTTATTTCCTTGATCACACCTACCAATTAAAGACCTGGGTCAAAGTTTTACCTCTAACAGCATTGACTACATGGCTGTAATTTCTCAATGCCTCAAGTTAAGACAAGGATTTTGCAAACCAGGAGTTCCCCTACTCTGATGAAAGGTCCACATCCCTTTCCCCTTCATTTCACCCCTCCTTTCCCTTTCCCTATCCTAAATAGACTTTGTTAGAGTATCTGACATTGAAACACAATACTCTCAGGGAAACATACTGTTGATTTTATGCTAACCAATACATTAAGAACCAGTCCTCCTGCTCTTTTTTTTTTCTTTTTAAAAACTTGATTAAAATAGATTCTATATTAATGTATGGTAAATGTGAACTCAATCTGTTTCAGATTGAACTCAATCCATGAACTCAATCTGTTTCAGAGCACTTTGTAAATTACAGTTACATCCAGAGTTTAACTACCTTGTTTTTCCCTATTTTAGGAGGAAGTTATTGTGATAAGACCCATATAATAATAAACCAGCCTCTGGAGGGGGAACCTACACAGCAATGGGACATTGAAATATTGTGAATAAAATCACCATCATCACTAAGAGGAGCTAAGGAAGGTGGAACTGTTTCTCTCATTGTCTTAAGCATGTGAAAAAGGAAGCTACTGAAGTCACAGGCCACTGAAACATAAGCAGATCATGAACTTGTTTTCATGTTCCTTTAATCTGTTTATGGACATGGATTCCTAAACCATTGCGTTTTAACCATAGAGAGGCTGGGTGGAGTTAAAACATTTTTGCCACCTTCTACATAAATCTATAGAAGCTTTCTATCACTAAGATGATAGATTACTTGGATTCCTGTGATATACCCTCTTCTTTTTAAGCTCATCTTTCCTTTTTGTGATGATGTTTCTTGATGGGGGATGCTGGTTGGGGGTACATTGTATACTGTGCATCGCTCTATACCATTTTTTCCTAGAAAGCTATCCAGTGCAAATAAGCAAAAAGTCGTTCAAGCTTTGGCTAGCCAGGCTCAAATTTGTGTTGTTTCTATAAAGGTTAGTGTTCTCAAGGAGTTGTCATTCCACGTATGCTATTAATAACTACCACAGGGTGACTACATAGACTAAATAGCATATGATTGTGTGTGTGTGTGCATATTTCTATATCATGGGGAACTATACAGGTCAAGTTATACTTTTGTCAGAATCAGAGCCCATAAGAACTGAGGAGCTTTCAGAGGTTATCTGAAAAGCAATTTAAGCCCATCTTCTAAAGCATTACCTTTTTTGATACCTGAAGCACTATACTAAAAAGAAGAACCCTAAACTCTTCCAGGATTAAAAGCACAACTCTGTATGTGATAGTTTCTGTTGTTCAATAGTATGATGCTATTCCTTTTAAAGGATGGATTCCTTCTATTTTTGAAAAAGCACAGATGACAAGAATGAAGCCCTCTGGATAGAAAAGACAATGCAATTTAAGTACTATGGAAGATCTCAGATGTATTAAATTCAGGCTCAATTTTGTTTTTAAGTTAGTGTTCTCTATTTTTACTTTGCATAGTATTTGAGTAACTCCCTTCTAAATAAGATAAGCCAAATTATTATTCTGTCCACCTGAAATGCTACAAAGTTTCCATGTCAGTTGGAAATGAAAGCAAAATTGTGTTTTAGGCCTGGACCATAACCAGTTTATTTTTTTTCCCTAAAACATAGGTTGAGCAGATTTCTTTAAATCACAGCCTCCTTAGGTTCCCTCTACCCCTCATTCTTCTATAAAACATTTTAAGTAACCAAACAGGCAGTCAGCAAAATCAGGTAGGAAATAATAATCTTTGATATATTTGAGGTAATTATTTCCACCTTTTTACTGTCCTAGTGAATGTTTAAGTTACTTTTTCAACCTGACTTCAGATAATTTATTCTGGACTGGATTTAAAAATGCATTGAAACACCCAAATGTCTTGCCATAAAACATATGAAAACACCTTTTCTATTTTTATATATATAGAGACTCAAAATTTCAGTGAATTGCACTTTAGAATGTAAATTAAATAAGTTAAATTCAGACCTAGATCTGCTGTTCTGAATTTTTTTATAGTACCCTGATCTTTCAATGTAAATATTTAAGATTTACTGTTTGTTTGGTATTTAAAAGCTAAAGAGACAGGATTTTTTTTTTAAGATTTACTGTTTGTTTGGTATTTAAAAGCTAAAGAGACAGGATTTTTTTTT